CTCCGGCGCGTGGAAAATGGTCCGCTTTAAAGGCCCGAGGTTAGCCTCATCTCGGGGGAGGACCTAGGGATGACATCATCGGACCTTTCCCCTCCCGGCCCGGTTCCGAGCCCCGCTGGGGGCCGCGTGTGCCGTGGTGGTGTCTGAAGTGTTAGATTTCACCGAACCCATTGTGTTCCCCTTGATTGGCGCTCTTTAAAAGGGGGACTCGGTCTCTTCCACTCACCCAGTGATGTTTGTTGTCTGTGCAGGCTTTTTTTTTTTTTAAAAAAAAAAAAACCCACAAACTCTGTGTATGGTGGCCTTCATTTTACTATAATGCAGCATAAGGTGGTACAATTAAATTACTAGAATATAAGTGTATTTGACAGAGCTGGAACGGAACCCTGGGCCTCGTGTATGCTAGGCAGGCGCTAGGCCACAAAATGACACCCCCAACCCACAAAATACAGTGTTCTTAGAAGAAAACCCTCGACTTTAAGGTCGGATCTGTTATCTGTCACTATAGAGAATTCAGTTGGCGTTAATCTATAAATACGGCGGTAGGATAGAGGCATATTGCTTTTGCCTCGCCTTGTCACGTGGGGTGATGTGAAGGCAAGCATTTTCTATGTCCCGTTCTATGAAATTGAAGTTAAATATGTCACTAATGTAGTGAAAACACCCTGCACCTCTCAGTTCTGCCTCGATAGAAAATAGTGAACTCATGCGCGTATGAGGAACGTCTGGCCTTTTTGTGTGGAAATACTTGCGGTAGTGATGGTACCCTTTGGACCGGTTTCTTGGAATGCACTGAATTGAATTGATTGCAAATTAGATGGGGTAGCTCTCCTCAGCATCATTATGACAGTCTTGCTCTTTGGATGACATCATTGAATAGTTTCTCTTAACCACTGACAGTGTATTTAAGAGGAATTATCCCACTTCCCTGGGGCCCATCCTGAACTTTGGAAGTGCAGTGGTTGGTGTTTGCTGAAGCGTATATTCATTTTTGAAATGTTGTATGTGGATAGGCATCTTACTAATGTGCCATTATTTAGAATCCATTGTGTTACCTTTGAGTTGGCTAGACCTTAACTGGGGACTTCAGCTTCCCTACCCTCCTGGTGACATCTGGACAGGCAGCATTTTCAGAGCAGAACTGGGTTGAGTAGGTATCCAAGATTAGAACTCAGTGCAGTTTGTTCCTGGGTGGAACATGTGCATCCTCCACCATCTAGAAGTCAGCGCAAGTGAGGCTTAGAGCTACTGGATCCTGGACCTTCGTGGACTTGCCATTAAAAATAGAAAAAAGAAAACATTGGGATAACTACCAATACAGTCAGCCTGCATGTTTTTGGATTCTGTTTCCATAGATTTAGTGATGATTTAAAAATACCTCCATATTGTATCTGTATGGAAAGTAAGCGTAAGTAACAAAGAGCTTAGAGATTGTGTGATCCTGTGTTTTAAGTTGCATGTAAACACTGCCATATGAACTTTATCTGTGGGGCGGAGTGGGGCTCAGGGGTGGCAGGTGTGTATCATTAATTTCTGTCTTAAACATGGGAGTGCCACCCCTTTTCTCTGGAAGAGGATAATTTTTGAATCCTATGATGCTGGTACTTGTGAAGCTGGTCTCTAAACGTCTATTAGATCTGAAAATATAGCGCCAACAGCAGTTGTATTGCAGGATGGGAAAAGGTGGGAAAGAACCATTTTCTAATTTCAAGAGACAAAATATGGGGGGTGGGGTGCCAACAGTAAATACAGAATGTTTCCATTTTCTAATTCATTCTTTCCTTATCTTCCCAATGTTGAGTAGAGACCAGTGTGCTCCTGAAGGATTTATTGCTATCTGATGGGCCATCATGAGATACTCACAGTGAAAAAGTAGGGCCTTAAATCTTAATGTCCATCTACTGAGAACCATAGACAACCCTAAACCTTGGGCTGATTGCCATGCTTTTAATGATAACAATTCATTAAAATAATTGTGATGACCAGATGCCGCTTTACAGCATGCGCTGCTTAGAAGTGAACTAAGTGCTGCTGTCATCAGGATTGTATTTAAATTAATCCATAGTCTTTTTCATTGTTGTACCTTGAGGCCTTAAATGTTAAATAAAGGTCCAGTGAGTATCTGTTGAAGACATACAGGGAGAACTTTTGGGATCATGAAACTCAAATAAAAGATTTCGTTGGCTTGTTCTTTAGACAGGAGTTAAAGATACTTGTTCCCTTCCAAAATTAAGTAAGTTGGAAGAAAAGCAGCAATTGTATTGTGACTCTTCATTAGTTTTGTGTAATTATAAATGTATTTCTGTTGTGCTATTTAAAAATATCCAGCATTGGGGCAGTGTGAGTGTTTACTAATAAAGCATCAGTTTTATCATGAGTGAAAATCACAACTGTGATATTTGTCCCTCAGCTTTGCTGAATTATAATTGGAAAATAAAAATTGTGTATATTGAAGATAAATAGCATGTTTTGATTTGCTCTAAATATTATATGATTATTATAACTGAGCTAAATTAATATAAAAGTGTTGCAAATATTTATGATGTATTCTCTGATTTTTCTAGTGTCACAGTGTGTACAATGTGTTAATAATGTTAGTCATTATTAACTACAGTTATTGTACTACATATTGGCTCTAGAACTCATTTGGTAACTGGGACTTTATTTTCTTAGGCAGACGTCTTATTATACTTCTGGTAATGACCGTTGTACTCTGATTTAGTTATCATGCAGTATTTGGTTTTCTGTGTCTGACTTACTTCACTTAGCATATGGTCCTCCAGGCTTTCCTTCTAAAGACTGGATCTCTCTCTCTCTCTCCCTCCCTCCCCCCCCCCGTGTGTGTGTGTGTGTGTGTGTGTGTCTATATGTATACATCCAGAATATATACATTCTTACACTTTTCTTTAACCATTAATTAATGGTTTAGCAGACTTTTAGTTCAGTTCCATATCTTAAGTTACTGTGAGTGATACAGTATGAGTTCAGAATGGTGAGATGATTTTATTTCCTTTGTTTATATTAAAAAAGTGGGATTACTAGGTCGGTTATTTGATAGTTTGGTTTCTGGTTTCTTGAGAAACTTTTAGTTGCTCCCTGGTTATCCTTTAAGTAAACAAAAAATTCCTTAATAATACATTTTTTTTTTCAATGAATGACCAAGAGCAAATGGTTATCACAGTCACATAACCTTCAGCGAGGTGAATAAGGGAGAAACTTAGTACTTCAGAATTCTGTGCAATTTTTGATTTCATTAAGGATAAAAGCAGCCTGTAAAGGTACTTCTCAAAAGGCTAGATATCGTCTTACCTGACCCCAGACTGGAAACATGCAGTGAATTCAGTGGAAACTCATTATTATGCAGATAGTTCTTCAGCGGAATTAAAAAGAAAGGTTTGTTATGTCTACTGTAGCTAGGAACCAGAGAAGAGGCCTTGTACATTTTGGCTGCTTGCTTCTATTCTCAGAAATGCCACTCTGTTCACACACAGATGCATTCTAGAATTGAACAGTGAGAAGACCCCTTTCAGGTCTTGCCATTTTTATGAAAGAATAAGATTGATAGAGAAATGTCCCTGTCAAAATATGCATAGGTGGTGAAGCAAGTTTGGTACTAATGTTTCTTTCTTGATTGTTTGAGCATTTCTCTCCTTGTTTTCGAGATCAGGTCCTGGCTAGGTTGGGCTTCATAGTCTAGACTGGTCCTCAGCTCTTGGCATTCCTTTTGCTTCTGCCTCTTGAGTATTATAGTCATGTATCACCATTTTCAATGAGTTTGGGTGTGTGCGTGCATATACGTGTGTACTTTCTGAGAGGTTTCTCACTGTGCCTAAAGCTCACTGATTTGGCTAGCCTGGCTGGGCAGTGAGGTTCAGGAATCCACCTGTCTCCACCCCCAACTGTGGAGTTACAGATGTGCATTTCCATGCATGTCCAGCTTCTTATGTGGGTCGGGAGAGCCAAACCTTGGCACTCAGTTTTGCATAGCAAGACTTGACTGACTAAGCCATGAGCCATCTTCCCAATCTCCAGAGTGTGGGTCCTTAACTGATAATAGAAAATCACAATTTATCCAGCACAAATCCTAGTCAGTCACCATGCTAGATACAGTGTGGATACCAAAGGATATAGGTTTTATTCTCATAGGCCTTATGCACTTTATTTATGGCAGTATTGTTACCCTTCAGGAGAGTGGTGTTTTAAGAAGTAAAATTCCCATATTAATGCTGTAAGAAGTTTGTTTATAGCTTTCTAAAATTGCTCACCTTAGACTTCATAGCCTAGATTATGATATTTGACTTGTTGTTAGGATAAACCATTAAGTTTTTAAAAATCTGTTTTCTTGCTCATTATTCTTAGAGATTTTGTCACATTAAAGCTTATAAAAATTGCCTTAAAATGATTTTGTTGATGAAGTTACCTTAGATTGACTAAAGTAATCCATGAGTTAAATCTACTGTTGTTTGTGTAATATGATTGCTTTCAAGGCTTGGGGAGCTAACCCAGTTGAAAAAGTGTGTTCAGTGAAAACCTAAGTGTGAGCTCCAGTGTCATATGAAAGTTCTGGGCATGGAAGTGTGTCCTTGTAATTTTAGTACTGGGGAGAAGGAGACAGGAGGATGCCTGCATCTCCCTGTCTAGCCATTTTAGCCAATTTGGTGAGCGCCAGTCCAAAGACAGACATTATTTCAAAGACAAGAATGATATTCCTGAGGCTGTCCTCTGTTCTCCATACACTTGCTCACAGGCGTGCCTATGCACTTGCATACTTGTACTTGCATATTGCTTTAAAAATATAAATTGCATTTTAAATTTAATCCAGATTTTTATCTGCAAGAATCGCTTTATATGTATACCCTATCTTATCTATTCCTATGTTGGTATGTGACATCATAAAACTTGCTTTGCAAGAAAAGTCTTATAAATTAATTTTTCCCAATTAGCCACATTTAAAAAATTGGTAGATTCTGCCTCATGATGTGTTTAATTATCTTCCCCTCCTCAACTCTATCCTTGCATTATAAATAGCATTACTAGTAAAAGAGATAATTCTATCAAGTGTCCTAGCCTATGTTCAACATGAAGTTATTAGGATACCTTTTAAATTTTCTGTTTATCAAAGTAGGGAATAAATAAAACTTGACATGTAGTGAATATGAGTGTGTGCATGTATTAAATAGGTAGATACAGGTGACTGTATTTTGATTATGGTTTTACAGGAAGGAGAAAATTCTAGGGAAAATTTACTAATCTGTAAGTAATACAAATTTTCAGATAATCATTTTAGTTTGTTTATTCATTTATTTTCTTTTGGGGAGAGGGGTGCAGAATCTTGACTATATAGCTCTGGTTTGGCTGGCTAGCTTAGAACTTATTGTATAGACCAGACTGTCTTGAAACTTGTGGTAATCTTTCTGTTTCTGTATCCCTGAGTGCTAGAATTATAAGTATCACCATGCATCAAGTAGGAGCTAGTTTTTAAATTTTAATTTAGTTAAAATACCAATTTTTTTTATCATTTTGCACATTTGTGTGAGTGGGAGTGTTTGTATATATGATGTATGTGTGTGACGTGTGAACATATTGACATCAGAGGAAAGATTAGTATAGTCAATTCTCTCCTTCCATCTTTAACATGGGTTCTGGTTTTGAACTCAGGTCATCAGATTTCTGCTCAAGTGCTCTCTTTGATGGCCCAAATTGGGTTTTAGAGTTGAATGAAGCCCAAAATTAATTCTTCTCTAAATGTGATGTCGAGATAACTCACATGCCTCTGCTTTAGGGTCTAATAATATTTATTGAATAGCATGCTGGGAAAACTGGGTTTGGGGATGCTTACAACTATTAACAGAGAAGAAAATTGCCAACTGTTAACTGAAAAATTGATATGCTTGAACAGCATGGGGCTCCCAGGTTGACCTCCAGCTTCTAGCTTAAGTGAGAGATTTGTGAAGCCACAGATGGGAGTGATTGAAGAGCTCTGTTCTTAGAAGTTCAGTTGAAGATGCTTTTATTTGTCTTATAATTCACAGGGAGAATGATGAATCAGTGAAAGAAGAAAAATCTGATTTAAAAGAAAAGTCGACGGGAAATAAGAAGGCCAATCGATTTCATCCCTATTCAAAAGATAAGAATTCGGGTACTGGAGAAAAGAAAGGTCCAAATCGGAACCGAGTGTTTATTAGCAACATCCCCTATGACATGAAATGGCAGGCTATTAAAGACCTGATGAGAGAAAAAGGTAACGATTTCTGCAGTAACTTACTGTTGTAATCGTCATCTAGGAGGGGGCGGAGATCAGCAAACTTTTTATTCCTCTTAGCCACACAGACTCAGAAAAAAAGACTTTTCTTTCTTGACATGTGAATTAATCTTTTCTTTTTCTTCCACTTGGCAATTTCGTTACAAGGAAGTATGGATAAATGAAGTATTTTTCTTTTTGCCATTTTAGTGGATAGTGAAGCCAGCATCTGCATGCCACCAAGAATTTTGTTAAAGTGATTGCTTTGTCTAGTTGAAGTTTTTATAGATTTTAAAGGACTGTTGCATTAGTTAAGTAATGCATCTCGCTTGTTAATGTATGTATAATAAGGTCGATTCTTTTTTTCCCCCAAAGATGTTTTTGGTGGAGTCTGGAATCTGGCTGTGGAATTCATTTTGCTTGCATTGTCACGACTGCCATGATGCTGTCTTTGCAGTTCTGTACTAAATTTGTGTTACTGCTGCTGCAGTTTTGTTTTCAGGATAACCTGAAAACCTTCATCTTATGCACATGCTTGGTTTTGGGGGAAAATAATTTCAATACTTGATCTTGTAAAAGTTAGTTCTGTTATCTCTTGAAAAATTGAGGTTCAACAGTCCTGCAAACTATGTACTTGGCTTTGAGGGTGATCTTCTCTAATAATTTTTTTAATTGCATTGGTGTATCTGTTGTAAGGTGACAACTATTTGACTGGTTTTATTCACTGACTTTATTTAGAAGTGTGTGGCTTGCTGTGAAGCATGACTTGTAAATTTAGTTTACTGATGGCAAACATGATTGAAGACATTCAGGTAGGAAGTCACCTTAAAACAGCTGTTGTGTGTAGGCTGACCAAAGCTATTTGAAAAGTGCTAATGTTGTTAATATGACAGGCTGAGGGGTCATTTGTATGTATATGTGCATTTGTTCACCAACCATATCATGCTGGCCAAATATGATCTGCCGTATGAATTGGGTTAATATGGTTGTTAGCTTTTTTAGAGAATGTGGATGATGTAATTTCTGAAAATTAGTAAAATTTCTATAGCTATTGATAGGAGGTACGTTGATTTGGTCCTGATTGCTGGTGAATAATAGGTGCTTTTCTGTAGAGTTGTGCACAGGTGTGCAGTAAAGCAAGATACTGGTGTTTAAATGTATTGTTTCTTGGTATCTTCCTTTTGTATGTCTTATGTAGTTGGTGAGGTTACATACGTGGAGCTCTTTAAGGATGCGGAAGGAAAATCAAGGGTAAGTGCTATGGGCCACAATCTGCTCGAGGCTTAAAAGTTCCTCAGCAGTTTACTTTTGTATAATACTCTATCAGACTTTTGGAAACTTAAGTTTCATTTTGTTTTACTTTAAGATTTGAGGTTTTTATACTAGCAAGTCTGACATGCCAACTAAACCAGCTTCCTGAAAGGGATGATGGGTTTTGCAAATATTCATAAAGGGTATTCATTTTTCTTACGCTTTAAGGTATGCTTTTCTTAGCTAATAAAACTTTAATATAGTTTTTTTTTGTTGTATTTTGATGTCTTCAGGGATATTTTAAAAGTCACTGAATTGATAATATTTCCAAGAGTTTTATGAGAGGCCTGTGGCTTAAAGGTGTTAATTTTGAATATAATTTTGAAACTTTTTTTGAAAAGCTTAATTTGGTAGCCTTTAGGACCTTTCAAGAGGCAGTGCTCTGACCAATTGTTAGGAATGATGTCTATGATTAAGTTGACCTAGAAGGCTGATGATAGATTTTGATTTAGCAGCATGTGCATATGGAAGACTATAATGGAAAACTCTTCTAGCGTCTCATCATGTTCATAAAATGATTGGGTACATGAGAGATACAAACTTTGTCATCACATTCAAATGGCACTTTGAATAGTAATCACAGGAGTTGTTTTTAAAGAATGATTTTGTACATTCCCTTAGCATGGGTAATTTGTTTTACATGCTTCCAACTAGATGCTCCTCAATTGTGTGCAGCCAGTTTTAATCTAATAGATAACTTTATTTAACATAAAATTCATGGGGGCTGGAGAGATGGCTCATCATTTAAGAGTACTGGCTGCTCTTCCAGGGGACCTGGGCCCAATTTTTAACACCACATGGCAGCTCACAACCATCTGAAACTCAAGTTCCAGGGTATTTGACATCCTCATCCAGCCTCTCTTGGCACTAGACCCATATATTGTGTATAGCCCTACATGCAGGCAAAACATCCATGCACATTAAAAAAAAATCATGTTTATTTGGTATTTTAATTAGATTTCAATACATATTGTATGCATTGCATCTTTTTGAAATACTCATGTGTAAGAACATGTATATTGGAGCCTCCAGTTTCTTCCTTTATTTACTGTTGATTGAATTTGTACAGTGGTACTAGTTTTAATTTTAAAGAGTCACTTGAAAGTAGAAGTGTACTCCAAGCTTGTAACATATTAGATGGATTTAAAAATTTATAGAAAATGCATGGTCACTTGCCTGTTACATTCTGGAGGTGTAAAAAGAAAAGAAAATGTGTTCTTGATTACATGTGATGATTTAAATATTAGAGTCTTCCAATAACTTCAATTACTGACCTAAAATGTTCTTTTTTCTTTTGCATATATTGACAATCTACTGGATATAGGGTTGTGGGTAAGACTTTTTTTGAAGTATCTTAAGTCAAATTAATCTTTTGATTAGAATAAGAAATCTTTGTACATAAGCATTTCTTATATATTTTTTCCTATTAAGTGTGGTTGAATTCAAAGATGAAGAATTTGTAAAGAAAGCACTAGAAACTATGAACAAATATGACCTTAGTGGAAGACCTCTGAATATTAAAGAGGTGAGTTATTTTTTTGTATTTGGAATTTAAATATTATATGAACATGCTTCCTTTCACTTTTCATTTTTTTTCTCATTTAGTTCTGGCAACTCGTCTTTTAAGGATAGAGTCTTATTAAAGAATTGTAGCTAGTGATAATTTCGCTTATAGATAATTTGCTAGTACCCCTAATAAGAGTTATTCTTTATATTTAGTTAATTTTGTGTCACAGCTAAATAGAGGCCCCCATAATTTAAAGATGATAAACTTAAGATGAAGACTTTATTTTCTATAAACATTTTTAGTTTTAGACTCTTGTTTAATTTGAAAATTCAATAGGTATTATAATTGATTACTGGTTGCTTGATAATACATAAGCTTGTGGATTTGAATAAGATTGGTGTTCATCTTTAATAAAATTAATTTAGATTCTATAAGATTAGCATATAGAGTCTAGGATTTAGAATAATCTATAATGGGAATTTTCTTGTAGTAGTATGAATGGATTGAAAAATGACCAGAAGGTACTTTACATAATACCACTTATAGGATTCATTGATCTTGGTAATAATTAGCTTGAATAACCCTCAATTTCATGAGTTCTTTTATTTTATGTTGTTAATTTCACCATAATAGTTTGAACATAGATGCATTTGCACACATATCCTTGCTAAATCTGTATCGAAAGAAATAGGCAGCCTCACGATGGGGTGCACACCTTTAATCTTAGCACTTGGTAGGCAGAGACAGGCAGATCTCTGTGAGTTTGAGGCTAGCCTGGTCTACAGAGTGAGTTTCAGGACAACCAGGGTTACACAGAGATATGTGTCTTGAAAAACTGAAAGAAAAAAGAAGGAAGGAAGGAAAGGTAATGTTATTTTGAGTATTTGAAATGTTGTGCTACTGATTCTGTTCATTCGTTGACTGGCATCCAACAGGAGAACAGTGATTTTGAGTTCCAGTTTATTCTTTTCTTGCCACGTGACAGGGCATATGACCTCTCTTCTCTAGTCTTTAGTGCTTATTATACCACCACCAATAGTACCTATGGGAATTGTATGAAGATGAAGTGTGATAAGTAGGTTATAACTCATTGTCTGTCACTAGAACAGCCAGGTGACCCAGGCACAACAATTCACTTAACCTTTGTTAAGTTTCCTTGTCACTGAGATAGGAGAAATATTCGAATATCTCTGGAAGTGTTGTAAAGACTCAAGGTGTTAACCAGTGTTTTCTAATTACTATACTTGTGATGTTATGTAAAGCTGTTAGCACCATGCTTAAAGTAGTCTAACAATATTGTAAATGTAAGCTGTAAAAATTATTCCTGTTAGTGATTGTTGAGATCTTGTTCTTTGGTGTGATGATAGCTTGAATGGCTTGATACCAAAATATTTGTGTGTCCTGTATTCTTTACTGGAATTAACTTCCAAATTCCTTGAATCCTGTTTGATCCTGGGATTATAATTATAAAAAAAAAAAAACTGACGGAGAGCTAGGATTTGGTAGGGAGTGTTTTAAGCTTTGTGCTTTGACTAGTCATTTATTTGCTGCTTTTATGAATAAGCCAGGCCTAACATTTTAGAAATGTGCTGGCATCCTAAATAATTTGTCACAATTTATAATCCTCTAATAATTTAATGATCATAATTTGCTATTTTATGATCCTGCTTCTCTTTAAAGGAAATGAATATTATAAAGGCTCCATAGAGACACTATAGACATTAAGCATGCTGTGTTTATAGTATCTTTCTATTTTTAATTGACAAAATTGACTGGGTGTTAAAGGTTTAGGTCATGTGATTGTATTCCTTAAGCATAGTGTAGAACCTAGATCTGTTGTGGAAACCCTAGAATGAAGTCGTAGGATGCCTCTATTTTTAACTATTTTAGAAGGTTAAAAAAAAAAGGTCAAATTTAACTTTACTAAGTAATGAAGGGTTTATTTAACTCTTCAGCTAATGTTCAGTAAAAGTAGTCATTTTCCTGGGAATACCTGATTGACAAACTAGTGACTGATAAAACTACTGAGGACTGCTTACATGGTTATCTAATGAAGGGGTATTTGCAGCATTCTTTAGCATTCTATCCAGTTGCATGAAGATCAGTAGGAGTTGTACATGTATTATTAGTAGATCCACTAATAGCATTAACAGTTAATGATTGGCAGGCTGGACAGCAAGGAGAAAAGAGGAATAAAAACTAAGTAAGATCATAATGCGATTTGTTTATGTGTGTGTAATGTATATAGTGCTTACTTATGTGTGACAAAACAAACGTACCACCTGTTAATACAAACAATCTGTGCTCTAATAGTTGAAGGAGCTTTCTCTCTTTTTTAATCCTCCTGTGTAGGTAACCATTCTCAATTTTTTTTTTGTACAAGTTTTTCACTTCTCAAACCTGAAACATTTATGGCTGTCTTAATTTCTTTTCTGTCACTGTAACAAAATACTCGACTAAAATCAACTTAGGAGAGTTTATTTTGGCTCTCAGCTTGAAGTGTGGCCCATCATTGTGGGGATTTGAAGGCAGCAGAGAGATAGGAATGCATGTTCTGCTCACTTCCTTCCATGTTAGAATGTTGGTTGGCCTGATCTTATGCAGGCAAGCACAAGTGCTGTGAGTTCATGAATGAGAAAGTAGAATTTTTGGCATAATAATTTACATGCAAATGATAGTCCTTAATTTCATGTAGACTTAACATGGTGAGTTTTGTTGTTGGCCTTCTACTTAGTGGAATGAGTGGGCGAAATACATTTGTACTTGCCTTTTGTTTTAATAAAAGATATTTCTTCTAAAAGTGAATGAACCTAAAAATATTCGCTATAATTCTTTACTTGGATACTTGGCCTTCTGTTCCCTCTCCCCTTTTCCTGTCACGGGTCCTTTTCATTGTTGAGGAAACTATTATAAAATGGATTATTGTGTTTTGTTCAGGAGTGATGTTAACCGGTGATAGTAAACCTTCCTCTATCTCTGTCTTCCTGAGTTTACAGTAGTATGATCTGCTAGTGAGAGGCTGTGAATTAGTCTGAATCTGACATTATTTTGACTATCTAGTGGTGAGAGTTCACGTTTGCTCTATTGTGCAAAGAGGCACAGTAAGTGTTCTGCTCCTCTCTAAGTTAAGGGCCTTTGTGTGTGCATCAGTATAAGGACAAAACAAAACTAATCTCAGGTTTCTATGTGGCCTCAGTGACTGGAAAAAAGTACTTGAAACTCCCAGCTTTTGAGTCTAGAATCTTTTGTCTATCCACAGGTTTTTTATGGGATCCACTTCCTGGACGGGGGTGGGGGGGTACCGATTAAGCAAAACCTTAGTCCTCAAAGATGTCTGTACTTTGGTCCAGATGGGTTAGCTGTTGTTGAGTTTAAACCATTTGAATTATATATATTCACTGATGTATTTGCTAGCAATTAACATTTAGTGTGCATTGTAGGATCCTGATGGAGAAAATGCTCGCCGGGCACTGCAGCGAACAGGAACATCATTTCAAGGATCACATACCTCTGATGTGGGATCTGGGTTGGTGAATTTGCCACCTTCCATTCTCAATAATCCAAACATTCCTCCTGAGGTTATCAGCAATTTGCAGGCTGGTAGACTTGGTTCCACAATTTTTGTTGCTAATGTAAGTTTAAGCTTTTGTTGTTCCGATACTTAACTCTCATCATGATACTATTTTGTGAGATGTATGCTGATTGGTTTGTAGGTCATTCTGTTTATTTTTAGCTTAAGTAAATAAAGACATAACCATTCTAAACTCTAACCTAAATTATGTAAGTAGTCTGAGGTTAGACTTAAAATATTAAGTAGTTGCTTAACATTTTAAGACAGAACTGTGGCATTCTTAGATATTTAACTTTTTAAAGTCAGTTATGTGTTTTTGTTCATCTTCATAGTTTAATTTTGTTCTTGTAGTCTTGGTGTTTTAAGTTGGTTTGCCATTTGTTTTTTTTTTTTTGATTTTTCGAGACAGGGTTTCTCTGTAGTTTTTGGTGCCTGTCCTGGAACTAGCTCTTGTAGACCAGGCTGGCCTCGAACTCACAGGGATTCGCCTGCCTCTGCCTCCCGAGTGCTGGGATTAAAGGCGTGCGCCACCACCGCCCAGCTGGTTTGCCATTTGTTGTATGCTCTTGAAAGTTAGTGAAATGGACAATGTTTTCCAAAACGCAAATTTTCCTTAGTCAAAATAGATGCCAAGTTTCATGTGTACACAACAGGATAGAGGGATTTAAAGATTTGGGAAATTTCAATGAAGGTAGATATAGGTGAACTGATTTTAAGCAAGACCTTTTTTTATTTTATATTATTGAGCAAGAATTAGTTTATAGTTTTATAAGTTTGGAAAGATAATTTTGTTTGTATGTAACTTTATACAATTTTATGTTAAGCTTGACTTCAAAGTTGGTTGGAAGAAGCTAAAAGAAGTGTTCAGCATAGCTGGAACTGTAAAGCGGGCAGATATTAAAGAAGACAAGGATGGCAAGAGCAGAGGCATGGGCACTGTCACGTTTGAGCAAGCAATTGAAGCAGTTCAAGCCATTTGTATCCTGACCTGTATTTTAGCATTAAATGAAGTTGGTGAGGCTTACTGCATTTGCATGTTTGTTGTTCATGTTGTGTAATGTTGCATCGCTTAGAAATTAGGCTTTTGTCTGCAGTTCTGAGCCTTGTTCTTTGTTAGGTACTAGAGTCACTCTTCAGACTTGAACTAGCCATACTGTCGAGGGCTGTAGGAACTTGTTTTCTGCTCTTCCTTCCTGCTGCAGCATGGGTGTGTGTGTGTGCGTGTGTGTGTGTGTGTGTGTGTGTGTGCATACTTTAACACACCATTGTATGTCAGTGCAGTGGCTTTTGATGAAACCTAGTCAATCTTGGTGAATTACAGTATAAATCAAAGGAAGAGACTAGTGTGAGTAAAGTCTAATGATAAAATAGTAGAGAAAGTTTCAGACTCTTTAAATATGAGAATTTTTCTCCAAGTATAATTTTGCTGTCATTTTTAACTGGCTTTCCTTGACTGACTCAACAGCCATGTTCAATGGGCAGTTTTTATTTGATAGACCTATGCATGTGAAAATGGTGAGTTTCTCCTTCTCATCTTGGCCTTCACTGCCTCAGACCTGTTCCTAGCAGAGCAGTTCTTAGAAGCTGTTCTTTTAACTATAGTAATTTTTCTTTTGTAATTAGGATGACAAATCTGTCCCTCACGAAGACTACCGTTCACATGATAGTAAGACATCACAGTTACCACGTAAGTAGAAACTGTTGTTAGAAAACAGCCAGAGTTTTTTGTTAGTGTGTTTGTTTTACATTATGTACAAAGCAGAAGTTTGTTTTTATGCCTAGATTGAAGTTGCTCTCACACTCCTTTGAGATTAGTTTGGAATTTTGCAGTTTGCTGCTTCTGATTAGGTAAAGAGTCAAAAGATAAATATGAGACTTATCAATGAATTTTTAAATTTTTTATTTGTTTCTTTTTGACCACCTAGTTAAATAAGTACTAAAGTATTTGGTGAGTTCATATACAAGAAAGGGAAAAAAACCCTATAATTTTACCATAAGATACCCACCATTTTTAACAGTTTTTAACATATATTCTTGCTACCTTATGTGTATGTATGTATATGCATTTAAGTAGCTTCAAACTGTTATATCAGTTATTTAATTGGGCTTAACAATCAATTATAACCATTTTTCCATGTTGAAAATTCCTCCCAGATATTTTTATTGGTATTCCAAGATCATTTTGCTGTTCTGTGTTTTACATGTTTTAACCTTCATTTCTCTAATAATCAACAGAGTATGATACAATCTTATGAATATGCTTTACATTTAAAGAGAATGAACTTTTATTGGACCTTAATTTCCCTCATGAACATTTAAGACTATGTACTTACCTACTATATACTCAGCCAGATTTTTAACCTGTCTTTAAGAGAATAGTGTAATAACCAACCTCATACATTGGATCTCTCATGCAATCAGCTTTTACAAACTAACCTATCTTTAATCTTAAGTTTTGTATTCTTTCATGTCCTTAATCCAGAATAATGTGTCTGTAGATATTGTGGTAATCATTTCTGAAAGTAGCCAACAGGTTGAAATCACCCTTAAAACAAATATCCACCATAAATGTTGGAGCAACATAGGATATTGTTTGATAATGTCTGTTTGTAGTGTTGTTTGCTATTCTGGGTCAATTAAATCTCTTTCCTTGTACAAGATCTGTAAAAGATTTCTGAAGAACCTTTTATCCTATCCCCATTCATGCTTTCTGTGTTGGTTGATGAATGCAGGGCAAAAATCTGTGTTAAAGACAGGCAGACATAGGGATAGTCAGACATCAGAACAGTATTCAGGCAGTCACAGACACATAGACAGACTTTAGACAGTCTAGTAACTACAAACTACAGACAGATGGAAGATACAGAGACAAGTTGAGAATTCAAATTTGGTCTCACTCTTGGTCAGATTAATTCAAGAGAAAGTCTGTGTTTTCATTCCTTAATGTGGCATTGATACATTTTCTTATCTCCGAGATTATTTTAAAAATATTAGCCAGCACAACAGACTGAATTACACTTTTTTATATAAAACTTATTTTTTATATTTTCTTTAGATGTCCTTAGCCATGACTTGCAGCACAGGCCTATGATCCTCAAGAGGCTATGGCAGGAGAATCTAAAGTCTGCCTCAGCTGTAGAGTGAGTTCCAAGCCAGCCTGAACAACTTAGTGTGACCTGGAGCTGGACTCAGTGTAGAGCTAGCACTTCAAACAAAGTGTCTGTTGGGATAGTCAGTGGTAGAGCACTTGATTAGCATGCATGGATCCTGAGTTCAATCCTGGTACTGAAAACAAATCCTGGAGTAGGTTTAGATCTACAGATTCTCAAGACATGCCCACTGATTCTAAAGCTCTTGCAACCTGTTTCTTTATTATTATTAAAGCTTTTAACAAAATATTTTAAATATGCAGACAGAAGTAAAATTATTTTTGTAACTCTTGTATGGCATACATTTATTAGATTTTTCTAATTAAATAAAATTTTATCAATAGACTTGAAATGCCCCAATTCCACATGCACTTCTCAATGTCTTCCTCTTAATGAGAGGACAACTCATGAATATGTTTATTATATAAATTTTAGTGATGTGAGTGCACATTTGTACATCCATAAACATACAAATAGCTTCCCTGACTTTAAGATTTAGTGTAACATATGTTATTTCACGGTTCGCTGTTTTGTGTTTTGTTCTTGATTCTGTTTTATTAATAAAGCCGATATCTTCATTTTAATGCATGATACTGCATTTTTACATTTTTCTGCTTTCAGATTGATTTACATTTTAAATTATTAGAAGTAATACTAAATTAAAATATTCTTTTTCTTTAAGAATTACCTATTTTTTGATATTTGCTAAAAATTGTGTAAAACTGGCCTTTACATATGTTTGTGGGTGACTTATTTACTGGTAATATTTTTTATTGCTGCTTGATATCTTCTATTTCTCTGAGGCTTTCCCCCACTTTTGTCTATCTTCAACATTAAAGTATTTACTGTTTTAAACATGGATTTTGTGTATGTGCTTGCTGTGGCACATGTGGGGAAGTCAGAGGACAGCCATTGGTAATAAGGTCTGTTCTAGTATATGGATTTCAGAGATTGAATTTAGGGTGTCAGGATTAGTAGCAAGCACCTTTACCCACTGATGCTCGGTGTTAAACTTTGTTAGTATAGCACTATCTTAAATTTTCTCTTTATTCATAGTTTGTTCTTGATGAAGATTTTATTTTAATTATGTGTATATATGTGTGTCAGTACGTAGGTTTGTGCATATTTCAGTGCTTACAGAGGCCCGAAGAGGATGTTGGATCCCCTGGTGCTAGAGGTGCAGGTGGTTGTGAGTGAGTGGTACAGTGTGGATGCTGGGAACCAAACTTGGCTCTTCTGTAAAAGCACTACCTGCTCTTTACGGCTGAGCTGTCTCTCCTGCCCAATATTGTTTCTCCATTTACTGGCTCATTATCTTTAGAAAATTGCCTGTTTGTTAGTGTTTGTGAAGAATGAGCTTTGTTTTCAGTATATTTAATTTCTTCCCTTCCTCTTTCTTTAGGTTTAGCCTAATTTTTGCCTTGACTCTGAGTTGATTGCTTATTTCACTAATTTTCATGCTCTCTTTTCTAACATAGCAATTAGGATTATAAACGGTACATAAGTCCTTCTATGGATTAATTTTTATTTTATAATATTTAATATTTATAGTATTTTATAAATTACCACTACAGTATTCTTGCATCTTGTATGTTTGAAAATATAAAATTTGAATTTCCAAATGCATGAGTTCTTTATTTTGCACTAGTTTCTAACTTAGGTTCGATGTGGTAATATAACATTGTCCATATAATTGCCATTCTATGAAATAGTTAAATTTTACTGTGGGTGGCATACTATAGGCCCCTTTTGATATCTTGTATGTTTACTAAATCAGGCTTGTTAATCATTTAAATTGTTTTCTGTCCTTTCTCATAATTTTATCTTTTCTGGTTATCAATTACTGAGAAGTATTTAATGGTAAAGTTTCTTAGTACATTGATAGATGTACCCATTTTTTTTTCTTGTTGAAAATATTTTGAAGGTAAATTATCAATTGCATTCAGGATTAGAATTGATTGGAATTGATAATGAAAAATTCTTGGTGAATAAAGTAATTTATTATGAGGTGATTTTGTAATTACTTTGTCCTTGTATAATATTTAGTATAATAGTTGTGTGCTGCTTCTTCATTTTATTTTATATTACTGTTTTTGATGTATGTGTATATACATGTTATAGGTATAATTATATTTTTTAAAAAATCACTTGACAGCATTTATGTGATGTTGAATTCAGTTTCCTCACATTGGTCATTTGGTTGGATTTGCATTTTCTTATTTTGTGTTTCACTTTTGGTACTTAATAAATACTTGTCTGTCTCTGTTTTTGCTATGTCTGTATAAATCTTGAAGTTAGTTTTCATGCCCTCTTTAATTCTAATGCCTTTGCATGCTATTATCATTCAGGGTTTTCATTCTGTTACGTTTTCAGATCTCATAAAGTAGACGTTATTTTTATTTTTTCTGTTATGATTTCTCTATCCTTAGGCCTGGTATTACTCACTTTATTTTGGAGCATCTATTAAGCTTTTTATTTTTTCAGTGAGGAGTTACTATAGGTAAAGTCTGTCAGTGTTGACCTTTCTGTAAATGTTTCTGAAATAGTTTGACTTGTTAGAGGGTTTAAGATCAAGTTACTGTGACTTAGCACTTTGAAAATAGTTTATTCTTCTGGTTTCCATTGTTGCGAATTCATAGTTCAGATAAACTCCTTGTTAAATTGCCCCTCCCCCCTTTTATTGGTTGTCTGTTGTTCATAGAGCTATTTTAAAGTCGTGGTCTCTGGTAGACAGCTTCACTGCAGTGTGAGTGTGACTTGCTGTTTATCGAGATTTTACAATGGTTGAAAATTTAAAAGATAAATTTTGGAAAAATGACCAACCATGTGTCGTTGAACACTACCCTTTCTCCCTTTGTAAGGTAGCCTTCTTCCCTCCCAGTTACCTGGTCAGTGTCAGCATACCTCCATCAGCAGTAAATTGTAGTGCTCAAGCCCTGCCCAGATCTCAGCCTGGTGATTGCTGAAGACTCATGCACCCCACCCCAGCTGCGTAACTAATGGTTGCTGGGGAAAAGAGAATTGGTTTTCTTCAGGGATGCAGCCCCTGAGAGAATTCCCAGTCTCCAGTGGATGTCCTTACACCCACAAACATACATGTGAAGTATACAATGGGGTTAAACAACAACAACAAAAGATGTGACTTTGGGAGGGGAAAGTTATGGGGGGAGTTGGAAGGCGAGTGGAGTAGTGATTTGATCAAAGCACGTTTATGAAATTCTCAGACAATAAATGAAAAAAATCTGTCCTATTATGTGTACTTTACATTTTTAAGTAATTTGTGTTTTCTTTTCTCTTGAGATATGAGGTGTTGAACTTTTTTTGGTTTTTCGAGTCAGGGTTTCTCTGAAGCTTTGGAGCCTGTCCTGGAACTAGCTCTTGTAGACCAGGCTGGCCTCGAACTCCCCGAGTGCAGGGATTAAAGGCGTGTGCCACCACCTTTGTGATGAACTTTAAATAGGTTTCTTAAGATGATCTTTAAACTCTTTGTTCTATTTTTTTCTTCCTTCCTTCATCTGTTTCAGTCAAATTTTATTACAAATTTACAAGTGGGAAACTTCTCATTTCACATAACTCTCATATTAAGATTTTTTTCTTTTCTTTTTTATAACTCTGAGATTAATGTAATTACTGAGCCATCAGAAGCGACAAAATGGTGCTTGTACATTTGAGCATGACTGTGCTGTTGCTCCAAGTGGGTTGCAGTTAGGCGTAGGAACACATTTACTTCATATTGATCTGTGCAGTTTAAAATATGTATCTGTATCTTTCTCGGCCTCAAGCCCTAATTGCTACATTAGTGAGAATTTGAAAAAGATACTCAGGTTTATTAAATAGCCATCAAGAATTTAGTGGATCTTATTAAGTCATTTTCATATATCTCCGTGTCTCCCTTTGTCTTCTCTCACTCCTCCTGTCCTCTCGCTGGCCCTCTTCCTCCCCAGATAGTTTGTCTCTTTTCATGTCACACATGTGTATGTTGTGTGTGTGTAGAATTCAGTTTGCATTAGACATATGAGAAGAGACCTGCAGTGTTTTGTCTTTCACTCCCATTACTTCCTTTAGTCCTCCTTCTCCTTTGTAGCCCTCTTCTACTTCATAGCACATGTTTATGTTTAAAGTCTTCACGAAAGAAAGTGTGGTATTTGTTCGAGTCTAGTTTATTTCCTTTAACATGATAATGTCCAGCTCTGTTAGCCTGAAAATAATTTCATTCTTCTCTGTGGATGGGTAAAACCTCATTGTGTGTATGTGCCATGCTTTTCCATTTCAACAAAAATCTCCATACTTTATCTGTAGTGGTGCCAATTTTACCTTGGACAGCACTATTAATAGAGTTTTTAAACAGAAGGAAAAGGACGTTTTCATTCTGGTTACAGATCTCCATCCCCTAAAAAAAAAAAAAAATTAGCCATTTTTTTCTAAATGGGTCAATGCAATGTAACTGATAGACTTAGTGACTAGTCATGTCTGCTTCCTTTTGCGTTAGTGACCAGCAGCATTACAAAAATCCCAACTTCCATAATCATTGTCTCAAGGGAATAATACGTGCTGGACTCTGGGAATGCATGAGTGGTTATTGCTACCTCAGTGCACAGAAAGTTGAATCCATGTACACATCTTGAAAAATAGAAAATAGCTTTATCACCTCTTTCTTAGCTGATGTGTTCTTTTGTCTATACTCTGTTCCCCTTTGTCACCTAATATTACCTTTTAATAATAGGAAATTATTTAGTAATAACATTATTAAATATTTAATAATAGTTAAATATATAATAATATTTAACTTGTTAAATATTAAATATTTAATATTATTTCTGCAGTTTTGACTTGGCCCCGCTTACCCTGTCTACTTTGATCATGTTCACAATATGGGCTGGGGTCTACCGATGAGGGAGAAACATGAAGGGTGTGTTGTTCTGAGTTGGCTCACCACATTTAATATTAGACTTTACAGGGTCACCAGGTTTTTTTCCTCCAGATTTCAGTTTTCTTTACAGCCAAGTAAATCTCCATTGTGTATATTAGCATGTTTTTATTATCTCTCTTTTGGTGGGTATTTAGGCCGGTTCCTTTTTCTATGTTTATCTTCTTTCTTCCCATGGTGAATAGAGCAGTAATAAACATGGATGTGCAAGGAATTTTGAAGTTCTTTGGATATATGCCCAGTAATAGTTATAGCTCTGGTTTTCTAAAGTTGGTTTTCAATATCTTTATTTACTTAAAGAGCATCAGTACAAAACAAAAAACCTGAATTTAAATATAAGACATAAACTCTAAATTTAATCACATAGGTAAATGGCAATGTTCAGGTAACTTAAGGTCTCAAAAATTTCTTATATTTGCTTCATAGATACAAGAGCATTTATTTTGTAAGTATAAATAAATGATAAAGCCAGGCAATTAGTATTGTTTTTTTCAATGTTATGGGTTTCTAAAAGATGTTTTATGAATATGGGCATTTTTCTCCATCAGCTGTGTCCGGTATCTATGGAGGCCAGAAGAGGGCATCTGACCCTCGAACTGGAGTTATATATGCTTGTGATCTGCTGTGTGGGTGCTGAGAACTGAACCCAGGTCCTCTGCAAGAGTAACAAGTGCTCTTAATCACTGAGCCAACTCTCTAGACCCTCATTATTACGAATTTTAAAAGTGGATTTAGTGTTGGTTGTTTGAGACGGGTCTTGTTAATGTATCTCTGGCCGGCCCTGAACTCACAGTTCTCTTGTGTCTCTGCCTTTGAGAGTGCTGACTAGAGGCTGTCTCCACAGCACGAGCTCAGGCTAAAGTCTTCAGTCATTGCCGACTTTTTTTTTTTAAAGTTTATTGATTTATAAAAGTTTCCATTTCCGCCCCTCCTCCCAACACCCTCCCACTTCCCCCACTCCCTCTCCTCCTCCCTCTCCATCCCTAAGAGCAGTCAGGGTTTCCTGCCCTGTGGGAAGTTCAAGTTTCTCCCCCCTCCCTCCAGGTCCAGGAAGGTGAGCCTCCAAACAGACTGTTTATGCAGAGGAAACAAGTCCCAGTGTCATTGTCAATGGCTTTTCAGAAAGACCCCGTGCCAGCCACATTCGGAGAATCCAGCCACATTCAGAGAATCTGGTTGGATGACATGCTCGTTCAGTCCCAGTCCAACTGACCTTGGTGAACTCTCATTAGATCAGTCCCCTTGTGTCAGTGGGTGAACGCACTCCTCATGGTCCTGCCTTTCTTGTTCATGTTCTTCCTCCTTCTGCTCCTCATTTAGACCTTGGGGACTCAGTCCAGTGCTCCAATGTGGGTCTCTGTCTCAATCTCCATCCATCAACGGGTGAAGGTTCCCTCTGGTCTTGCCTTCTTTGCTCATGTTCTCTTTCCTTCTGCTTCTCCTTTGGACCTAGGGAGTTAAGCCCAGTGTTCCAATGTGGATCTCTGTCTCTATCTCCATCCATCGCCAGATGAAGGTTCTATGGTGATATACAAAATATTCATCAGTATGGTTATGGGCCAAGGCCGGTTCAGGCAACCTCTCCTCTGTCCAGAGAACAATCTGGGGATCTTTCCTTGGACCTGGGATCCCCTTTATAATCAAGTCTCTATTAAACCCTAAAATGACTCCCTTAGTTGAGATATATACTTCCCTGATCCCATATCCATCCTTCCTCCCTCTCCCCCATCCCAATCCCCCGAGCTTTCCCCATTCCTCCCCTACTCCCTTCTCTCTAACCCTCTCCCCTTCCAGCAACCCTCCCCACCCCCCCACGCACCCGAGGTTGCCTGGCACTCTTGTCTACTTCCAATCTCCAGGAGGATAACTACATGATTTTCTTCAGGTTCAGAGGAATATGGTATGTATTCACTCATATGTGGATTCTAGCCATAATTAAAGGTCTTTGAGCTTTATTCGTGATCCTAGAGAAGCTAAATAAGGTGAACCTGAAGAAAATCATGTAGTTATCCTCTTGCCGACATTTTATTTGTACTATTTTGAAAGTAATACTGTTTTAGTGGTTCTAAAATCTGGGTGAGATGCTCATTTTCTGGTGTGTATGTAACGCTGAAAATGCCTGACAAATCTCTCTTCACCCCCGAGAGGGTACCAGCAATAAATAAAGAAATTTACCCAAAGACTTCACCCAAGTCTTTTTGGTGAATTGGTGAATTAAATTGTGGCTATTTACAGAAGCACAGAAGGAAGAGGAATTTGCCAGCAAGAAATTGTCATGTGTGTTATCCTTCCCTCCATTTCCCAAGCCAGTGGGTAACTCTTGTGGGGTATATGTGCCGTTTGTGAGGGCTCTTTCTTACACAAAGGAGTATTAGTAATTTTGAAGCAGTAATCACAATTGCTCTGACCTTACGGTGCCGATGGCCACATCAGCCTGGAGAAGAGCACAACAGTGAGGCACAAAGCAGTGTATTTCACGTTTTCCTGGGGTACATATGTGTGTGTGTGTGTGTGTGTGTGTGTGTGTGTGTGTGTGTGTTTCAGGGGTTGGAAGTGAACAAGTGTGGAAGTAAGACCAGAAAACAGCCCTTGGTATTTTTTCTTCCGACAATGTCTACTATGTCACTACCTGGAACTTGCCAAGAAAGCTAGACAAGATGGCCAGCAAGCCCTAGGGATCTGTTATCTTACTAGCACTGAGAGTACACGTGTCTAATACCATTCCTGGCTTTAAAAATGTGTGCATTCTGGGAATTTAAGTCAGGTTTTCGTGTTTGCAAGGCAAGCCCTTTACTTACAGAGCCATTTCCTCAGCCCAGCTCTTGTGAGTTTGTTAGGCCTCTTTCAGTGCCTTAAAGTGAAACATAAGCTGTACCTGCTTCATAAAATTCCGTTCATCTATAAATGATATTACAGTCTTTTTATATGGTGTTTTGTAAATGGACATAAGAACCCCTGCTATTTGTATGTAACCTTTTAGGGTAAGGGTTAGTAATAGTTTTATATGAGTCTCAGTAATGTTGTTGTTTGTGATTTAGGTGGTCTTGGAGGCATTGGAATGGGACTTGGTCCAGGTGGACAACCTATTAGTGCCAGCCAGTTGAACATAAGTGGTGTAATGGGAAATTTGGGTCCAAGTGGTAAGTTTTTTCCTATAACATTTCTAAGTGATTTATTTGCTATTTAATAAAGCTTATATGTATTAGTTCCATTTTTCTAAAGAACTCTGTTTTAGAGATGTGGAGGATATCAGTTGAGTTTGAAAAAGGAAATGAAGAAACCTTGAGAGAGCAGCTGACACGAAAAGAGGGCAGGCAGATGCAGGTGGGGACTGCCTCTGGGGCCAGGCGTGTGAAAGCTAGCCCTGGAGTGCCATGCATATTGAAGTGCTTTAAGGTAGATGAATTCTTAGCATAATACTGTGCACATTGTGGAATACAGGGTTTGTGGAATGGGTAGCACCGTGCCATAGCAAAGGCTATTTGAATTTATTACATTTGGAAGGGAGCTTTGAAGTAGCTATTTGCCTGCTCCTTGGACCCAATTATCTTTAGAGATTGTTTTTCCAACTTTTAATTTTTAAGTTCAGCAAACTTTATTCTTTCAGGTTTGAAAACTGTAACATTTTGCTAATGTTATGCTTCTTAATATTTACTGTATTTTAAAAAACTTAAAGTTGTAAAAATTGACTTATTTAAAAGTCATAATTAACCCTGATGCCAATCTAAACCCTAAAAATTATATTTAAAGCATATAATATGAAACATGTAATTAACATAAGTGCTATTTTTAAGAAAATAAAGTATTTCTAATAAAAAAGGAAGAGTGATTCTGGTTTTGGTATCTCTATAGTGTTTGTGTTAATGTAGATAGCTGTACTGCTGTGTCTACATCTGTTTGCTGTGATAGCATACACCTTGTAGTTTATGGAAATTTCCACATTGTAGTCGTGAGAGGATGAGAGGAAGCAGCTCTGTAACCCAGCAGTGTTTAGTGATGGAGATTATCTCTTGGCCTTTCAAAGGTTCCCAGATCATCCTTTGAGAATTGCATTGCATTTTATGGGCAGATAAACTTGTCATAGTCTCCTTTTTATTGAGTTGATACATATTTTATAAATTATAAGGTATTGATGGAAATCATTCTCATTCTGAGGCAAAAATCATGTTTTCTTGTTTATTTTAGGATATCATACTTTTCCCTTCTAAATATAAGCTATTTGTTATTAATTTGACTAGCCTGTTAACTGCTGTATTTAGAGGAGACTTTGCTTTGTAGTCTATTGCTAAATCTGCTATCGTGACTTCACTGTATCTGAAAGAGTGCACACTGGTTCTAGATGCTCTCCAACTGGATGTTGTGTGTGACCAGTAAACTCTTTTTTTTCTTGTCTGATGTTCAGAGGCCTGTTTTGAAGACTGGTGACTAGTCAGCCACTATGACGTAGCTCTGTAAACCGTCCTATAACCTGCACCTGCTTCTCTAGTGTTCCATTGTGACTAAACCAATGGTATTTATTTTGCTATAATGTCATTCGTTAGTCACAAAGTAAGATTTACTGAAAGTACATACTGTGTATTTTATTTGAGGTATGGGAATGGATGGTCCGGGTTTTGGAGGAATGAATAGAATTGGAGGAGGTATGTATAAGTATTTGTTTTTGCATGTACTCATCGCCATTTTAAAATTAGAAATCTAGAAAAAAAAATCATAGTTTATTGTTGGCTCATGGTCTAAATGCTGTTGACCAAAATTGAGCATAATATACCCTTAAAGGAAGGTGATGTGTTAAGTACCTGCAAAAGGTGGAATGGAGGAAGCACTTACTGGTGACTTAACATTTCTAGAATGTACCATTTATCTACAGAGCTACACTCAAGTCTCAAAATTACTCTATTTCATAGGAGTTGGGTTTGGTGGTCTGGAAGCAATGAATAGCATGGCAGGATTTGGTGGAGTTGGCCGAATGGGAGGTAAGTGAACGTACTCAGGGAGTTTCTGTTATCTTTACGTTTCCTTTTACTGAGATATGTACCTTCACATGCATGTAGGAATAGATGCTGTAGGGTCTTCAAAAGGCAGTTTGGCACTAGAGGACACTTGCAGGGAGGGGGTTGGGTTGTGTAGTGACTGTGTGAGGTAAGTTGGTATGCTACAGACTGTTTTGTATTGATAACTTTTGCTTTTTTTCTTCAGTTTAGCTTAGACGTATTCCTGAATGGTTTTCCATGCATTGATGTACTTGAAGAAGGGTTAATTTGTTGCACATCTTTTCAGAGCTATACCGTGGTGCAATGACTAGTAGCATGGAGCGAGATTTCGGACGTGGTGATATTGGAATAAATCGAGGCTTTGGCGATTCCTTTGGTAGACTTGGTAGGGCTGGTTGCATACTTTTTTCCTTTTGCAGGTCATATTCTTAAAAGCTGATCTTTTTGGTGAAAATTTTTTTGAAAGTTATGTACATAGTTTGTTACTAGAAGAAAGCACTTTAGGATTTTATTTTCATGGCTGTCTTTTATATTATTTTAAATACTTTAACTCTTATTTCCAGAAAATTTCATAAATGTTTAGTTATTTGTGAGTATAGTACCTTGGGCATTTTGAAGTGTCATTATTTAAATTAATTAGTATATTATCTTTCCATCCTTGTTTAGGCAGTGCAATGATTGGAGGGTTTGCAGGAAGAATAGGAGCTTCTAACATGGGTCCAGTAGGAACTGGCATAAGTAGGTTTAAATTTTAATAGACCTTACTGAGTAGTATTTGAGTGCTTGCAAGGAATTTGCAAGAGTAGTTATTGTAGTGCAGTAAATGTGTTAATGTGTCTTATCATATTTTGAGAAACTTTAATGAGTTAAAACATTTCTGTTTGGTTGTTTGAAAATTAACTTTGTTTTTGGTATTTCTCAACTAACACCAGAATGTGTATTCAGTAGCCAGTCTAAGAACTGTCTTTTCACATCCCGTGCCACAAACAGCTGTTGCTTATATACTGGCCCTACTTCTGTTTTATTTTGCACAGCAGCTACTCGCTTGCTTCATATTTAAGCCTTATGCCTTCTGGCAGGTAGAGACAAAACACCAAATTTTAGGGACTTCCTGAAGTTGAGGGATAAAGATGAAGAGATGATTATTTTCCTCTCGTAGACCCTTCAAAACCACAAGCATGTTGCAGCACTAGAGAATGCCAAATACCTCCCCTCAGCCCTCACGTAGTAAACCTCACGTAAAGCCTGCACACATGACTGAGATTCTGACCAGTATTGCCAACTTGGCTGTGCCTGAGAAATCTCCATACCGTACTAACTTCTTTTGGGTGCTGAAATTTCAGGAAATAGGAAGCAAACTTATTAAACAGATTCTAAAATCCTGTCCGCTGGATACATTTGCTTACCATGTGCTTCTCGTCTTATTTCTTGCTCTGCCATCTTTCAGCATTCATTTTCCTCTCAGTAACATTCTTCCCTTCCCCCTTTATCTCAGTGTTTGCATCTCTGTTTCCCCAGTTCCATTTGTTATTAACAGAAAACCAGCTGGAAAGTCACAGTACTGGATTTTCATGTAGAGATAATAGGTATGAGAAAAGAGTTATATTTTGAGGATGAGATCAGGATAATTTTAACAGGAAGTAAACCCAGTACATAAGAGGATGAATGAGGAAATAAATTCTTAAGCTTTGTTTAAAGGAGAGTAATAATAGTTTTTGTTTTTCTCTTTGCAAGTTCTGTGTAATATTGAGTTACCGTTGTCTATGATTACTGAAAGTTGAATTGGTAACAAAGTATAAGTTGTGTGGGAATCAGAGGTGCACATACTGTGATACAGGGTGAGCAAGGAAAGGAGTGATGGGTAGGGAGTGTAATATGGGACCAACATGTGTGCCAAGTAATAACAATTTATATTTATCTCTGAATTTTGTTTTCAAGTTGCTATTATTGCAAAAATAAATATAAGAATTAAAAGTATTATAATATGCAAATGATATAGGATTTAAGTATTTATGTGATTTTTTATGATTATATTTTATAGAGGCATATATATATATATATATATTGTGACTAAAGTTAACTTTTCTCAACTAACCAAATGTATACCAAACTATTACTTGTTTTGTTTTCTGTGTGAAAATAATTTTCTGTTATAAAAATGAATTTTCTCACCTTTTCAAAAACTGATTGTTCTTTTTCCTTTTTTCTTGTCTTTTAATGTTTTTGTTTTTTAAAAAAAACTTGAAACTCCCAAATCCTCCCGCCCTTCTCCACACTGCAGGTGGCAGTATGGGTGGCATGAGCAGTGTGACTGGAGGCATGGGGATGGGACTGGACCGCATGAGCTCCAGCTTTGACAGGATGGGGCCGGGAATTGGAGCAATACTGGAAAGGAGCATCGACGTAGATCGAGGTTTTTTATCGGGTCCCATGGGAAGCGGAATGAGAGACAGATTAGGCTCCAAAGGCAACCAGATATTTGTTAGAAATGTAAGCAAATAAATATATTGGAAAGTTAAAATTCTTTTTATATCTTTACACACACATGCACACAAATTTGGAGACTATTGTTAATAATTGTTCATTTTATTTCCATATGTATGAAAAATATAAATATTACATATAAAATATGTACTAATTTCTCTTTTCATTCCAGCTGCCTTTTGACTTGACTTGGCAGAAACTAAAAGAGAAATTCAGCCAGTGTGGTAAGTATACCAGTAACTACAGATTATGCTGATATTTTGGGGGTGGGACATTTTCAATCTTAAACTTTGAAACACCGTGATTAGATCTTGACTTATCCCAGTCGTATTCTTGTCTAACTCAACTTTAGATAAGTAATAGTTTTGCTGTCTGGTGACTTGGAACAAACAACAGGGCTTAGTGCAGACTTGAAAGGATAGCCCATCATTACCTGTTGTAAAGAAGTTTTGTTTATTACCATATTTTAAAGAGGTTGATATGTTTTTCCATTAGAATTTTTTTTCTCATGAGAAACGTTAGTAAAAGGTATGTTTACTTCCTTCCTGATGCATAGTTGACCGGACATTCCATTCTGTACACTGTTGCCTGCATAACATAGGAACCTTTACTAGTAAGAAGTGTAGAATCCAGCTACACACAGATAGATTTTGGTAGCTCTTCTAGTCCTTTGGAAACTCTTTTTGGCTATAAGGAGACTGGCTACAGACCTTAGTTATTCATTAGGTCTGTCTGTTATTGGCCTGTTTATTACTTTCAAATAAAGCTTTTTCTGTCCATACTCATTGATACAGTGTCCCCTGTCCTCCCCCCCCCCCCCGTGTGTATGGTAATGGGGTGATAGTGTGTTATGGGGTAATTGTGTGACTCACCCAGAGTAACAGTTTTCTTTCTATTATATCCTTGCCTAAAATCACAATAAGATACTCATACAGTATGTTACGTTGAAAGGGGGGCTGAAAGTAGGGCATTTCGCCTCTTACAGTTAACAGAAAACTAAGATCTTTTCTCCTGCCTCTTCTCTAGAGTTCTGGTATTAAAGGCATATGCCACCATGCCCAACATCTTTAGTATTTTAAGGCATAAAAAAAAAAAAAACAAGCAAGTTTAGTGTTCTTCCACAAAAACAACCTTTCTAGTTGACCCTAGTGGTACAGCCTATAATTCCAGCTACTTGGGAGGCTAAGACAGGATGCCACAAGTTCAAGATGTGCCTGGGCTACAGGGTCAATTCAAAGTCAGCTTGGACAGTTTATTGAGATTGTCTTATAAAAAACAAAACACCAAGAGGGAATGGAGGACTCCAGGAAAACATGGCCCATGGAGTCAACTAAGCAGGGCTCACACAGACTCACAGAGACTAAAACAGCAGACCTGGGGCCTGCATGGGTCTGCACCAAGTCTCTGCGTGTATGTTATGTCTGTTTGGTCAGTGTTTTTGTAGGACTCATACAGTGGAAGCAGGTGTATCCCTGACTGTTTGCCTGGGTTTTCTTGTCCAGCCCCTATATAAGGACTTTTGCCCTGCCTTGCCTTATTGTGTCTTGTTTTGTCCTGTTTGGTTTTTGTCTCTTGGAGGCCTGCTGTTTTCTGGAGGAGTGGATCTGGAAGAGAGAAAGGAGATGGAGGGAAGGTTGGGAGGAATTGAGGGACTCTGATTGGGATGTATTGTATGAGAGAAGAATCTCTTTTCAATAGATAAAACAACAATAATAGGTTACTCAGAATAAAAAAATTAGGTAAAAAAACCAAGAGAGACTTAATGTTGCTCAGTGGTGGGGTGCTTGCCTATCATGCACGAGTCTTGAGGCAGTTCCTAATACTGGAGGCAAAGAAAAAAAAAGAAAAGGAAAAAGTCTTTGTGGACTACTGTCAGGAATACTATCGCTATATATAGTTCTTTATATTTAATTTCCTTTTAACTTTTCTTACAATGATCTACTAATTTTCTTTCACCCCAGATGAGGCTCTTAGGGTAATTCTCACCTGTTTAAGTTAGTACATTTTATTTCTATACATACAGAAGAGTTATAAAATGTTCATAAGCACTCTGATTAAATCTTCGTTCAGTTACTCATTTACTCATTAAATCTAGGATCATTGGTGTTTGAGCAGTCTGCTAGTCCTTTGGAGATGAACAAAATCAGATATTGAACTTTTTAAAGAACTTGCACTATGAATCTGTCTAGGATGTTCTGTTGATGACCCTTTTATTTTTACATTAACTTGAAATTTGAAGAAGAGGTAGTTCTTACAAAAACCTTGTTAAATACAAGTGACTTGGCAGTTGTTCACTACTGAGAGAAAGCAGCATAGTGCATTATTTGAAAGGGTGTTGGTAGCTTGTGTAGAGTAAGAGTAAGTACATATACTAAAAGCAGGCACTCTCTTGAGGTCAAGCAAGAGTAATATTGAACAGCCAAAGCTAGGGCTGGGGTAGCATTGACAGTAATGGAAGGTGTTTTGTAAGAAGAGAAAGATCCAAGTCTGCATTTAAGATAGTGGCTCACTTATATAGGACTTCTATTTCCCTCTCTTCTTTCCCTTTTGAATTATCTGATAGTTAAAAGGTTAATGAGTTTGGTCTTTTACTTCCAAATTGGTATAAAAGTGCTTTTCAATTTTATATTTAGTGCCATGCTTACAAAACTCCGTATCATTCCATGTTCTAATAGGAGTTACACTGATGGCAAAGAAAATAATTTATAGTAATACAGAACTAAATCTCCATTGTTGCCAGAGTACTATCTCACATGTTTGAACTGAACCATCTGTTTCCTGCCATCTTACATTATTTATAAATGTTAGAGTTTTTCTGTTAAGTGTTTTTAACCTGACAAACAAATAATGACCTTTAGCCATAAAAGCAGGTTTGTTTGATTGCTAATTTGCTGTGTTTTGTTTTCTTGAGCCCAGGCTAGCTAAGTAAATGTTTTTCCTTTCTTAGCAGGAATCTAGTGGTACTCTAGACACAACATCCGCCAGGAAATAACTCACTGGCAGGTGTCTTACTAATATAAACCCCAAAGGCAACATGCCGGATAGCAGTGTCATAGTTTTATTTTGACAGATTTTGTTAATTATTTATGAATATATTAATTTGGCTTATTTTTAGTTATGGTCTATGCCAGCATTTCCCCAAATATATATATGTATGTGTATAATGGTATATATATATATACCATTTCCAAAAGTAATATGGACTAAAAGTGGAAAACTTTCTTTCATTGTGTGCTAAGTAGTTCTCACACCTGCTCTGTGACCACAGTGTATCTGAGCTCCTCTTTATGGCAGAGCTTAGTTCTATACAAATGATAAAATGCCGGTCTGGTTGCTTTTGTTTTTCCTTGAAATTTTGCTAAACAGTAGGCCATTTGAAGACATGTAAAAAGTTAGGCAGATTAATTTTAATTATTTGAAACTTCCCTCCTAAATTATTATTATTTTTTTTTTAGAAAGAAAATACTTTAATTTGTGTTTCCATAGGGTCAGAAAATGTAGAGTCTCACCTCAATGTGGCGATGAATGCTTGTAGTCTTAGCACTCAGAGTGGCTGAGGTGGGAAGGCTGCTTGGGCAGTTCAGTAAATTACAGACCATCCTGGGTATGTTAGTGAGACTGTCTCAACAAGTTAAAATTAAAACTAATCCAGAAGTTGACACTGCCACATGGCTCAGCAATTTAGCCTTTGCCTGGTGTGTGCAAGGCCCTGATGTGTCTCAACCCCCAGGTTCTAGAAATAACCAGGCCAGCCAGCAACTTGGGATTCTTTTCCTACTTGGGGTAGTCTAACTGTGGAAACTGGTGTGTGTGGGCTGACTCTAGAATCTAAGTATCCAAACTGAGAAGATTGGATACTTGGTACCCTAGCTGAGAGGTCAAGGGGAAGGTGAAACCACTGTGAGAGGAGGAGTTTGAATGCCTGAATGATGACTTCCTGAGCTGCATCAATTGAAGAGGAAAGTGGAAAGAAAATCTTAACTGAAGTATTGAAAGATGGCTTATGCAAAGAGATAGTAACTTGTTTTCAAGAATCTAGCTCAAGTAAATTCCATTGTTGATTATCATCCTATGCTGTAGAACTTAGAAAAATCTAAATTTTTAGGTAAAGCTAGCATAGCTTCAAAGCTTGTAAAATTATCCATGGCCCTTGGAGATAACTGTAAGTGCCACCATGTGCCAAAGCATTCTGCCTTCATGGAGTTGCTTCTTCCTGGGTGCCAGTTCCCTTTATGCTGGTGGATTTTGAAAGTTGCTGTGTTTACCACTGTACTGGCTAATTTTGTGTCAAAAATTAGCTGTAATCATTTGAGAGAAAGAAGCCTCAGTTGAAAAGTGCCTTCATAGGAGTGGGCTAGAGGCAGCCATGTAGGGCACTTTCTTAATTAGTGATTGATGTGAGAGGGCCCAGCCCATTATGTATGGTTTCATCCCTGGGCTGCTAGTTTTGGTTCTATAAGAAAGCAGGCCAAGCAAGCTGCAAGGACCAAGCCAGGAAACAGCACCTCTCCATGGCCTCCACATCAGCTCTTACCTCCAGGTCCCTGCTCTGCTTGAGTTCCTGTCCTGACCTCTTTGATGATGAACACTTGTAGCATGACTAATTAAAACCCAGAGACAGAAATGGGGGTTCGAGCTGAAAAATCAGAGAAACAAAGCAGCCAACCATTAGAGCGCTTTTACCTCTACAAAATCTTCAGACTGAAAGAGAACGTGTTCTTGTCTCATCCTGTCTTCCTCTTTAGTGCTTGGATTAAAGGTGTGCACCACCACTGCCTGACCTATATGGCTGACTAGTGTGACTAGCTTTGCACTCTGATCTTCAGGCAGACTTTGTTAGATCATAAATAAAATATCACTATAAACAATGATTTGGAAATACAAACTAAATAAACCCCTTTTTTCTCCAACTTTCTTTTGGTCTTGTGTTTCATTGTAGCAATAGTAACCCTGACTAAGACAACCAACCACTAATATTTCTTTTAGCATGTATCTCTCAGTGCCATTCTGTTGGGGGGGTTTTTGTTTTGTTTTGTTTTCCCATTAGAAAATAAGATTACCATTTTTCTTTCCTGTTTTATTAGTTGTGGGCTAAATATTCAGTCTACTTTAATTATGAAATTTTTCTGGGATTAGTATGTTTTACAACTCTTAGGGATATATACAAGAATTTCCTGATTGGCTTTATAAGATATGGTTTTGAATCAGTCTGACATTGTCTTCGCATATTTAGTGTTCAGAAGGTAAAAGATTGGTTATCAGTTGACTTTGAAAGGAAATGCAATAGCAGGAAGTGGATGGAAACACAAAAGTAGCCTAGGATCGTGTAAATCAGAGGTCCCTGAGCTCATGCCCTTAACAGGAAAGCAACCTAGCTTATTGATTCAGAGTAATACTCATTTTCTTCATCTGGAACGGTCTTCACTTGACAGACCCTTGCCCTTTACTTTTCTCTTCTTTTTTGTCCCTTTTGGCCCTAAATGTGTCTGATTGTCTGGTTTGATTGAGAGACTAAAATTAACACATAGTACTCTAGCTGCTGTAATATTCAAAGTCCAGCATAATTTGATAACAGGTACATCCTGGGAGGGGAAAGTATTATATAAATAGTTGTGCCCTTAAGTTACTGTCTGTTTGGACTGGTCATATGCATCCCAGTTGGCCTGAGCTGTGGGCTTACTGCTCTGTCTTTGCTTCCATGTGCTTATCACTCATTCCTCTTTACTCTTAGAAGTGCTCTGCTTTCACTGAGGGTTTTCAGGCTACTTTGTATTTCAGTGTTACTGATCATACAGTAACTATAGATTTAGTCTAGAGTTAACAGTGATGCTAATTGTATAAAAACAGTTGTCTGGTTTCGTTGTCCTTTCCAGAAGTTTCTTTGAGATTTCTCTTTTAACATCATTATTTTTATCTTTACTGTTTTAAATCTGCTGTCTTTTATAACCATTTTCTTATTTGATGCCATCTTTAAGATTTGAATGCAAATTGTGATACTGAATTTTGACATAGTAGTTAAAAAGTAGAATTGATGGTCCCTTTTGTGACCTGGTGGAACTTAGATTTATGAATATTTGTTCTTGTAAAGATAAAAGTGAAATGAAGATAAAAGAGAAGGAAGAAGATTCAGGAGTTTGAACAGTAAGCATCTGTATAATTTTGATTAAAAGTGTCATCTTCTTAGGGGCCATAGTGAGTTGGTGGTATTTGTGCTAGCTAGCCTTATTGTTGTAATATCCACTTCAGAAATTGGGGATTTAAAATCAAACTCAATGTCCAATCCAATTTTATGTAATCTAATATGTATGTATTCATAGTCATTATATAGGAATTATATTCAGGGTATAAATTGATAATTCTCATATATATGTATTTTATATTATTAGTATGTTTAACCAAATTACCTATGATCTCCATTGCTATGAGGAGTTTAAAACTTGTCTAGTGAACTGGAACTCATTTAAATGGACTAGTAATTGTGTAACTCTTGTTTTACAGGTCATGTAATGTTTGCAGAAATAAAGATGGAGAATGGCAAGTCAAAAGGCTGTGGGACAGTTAGGTTTGAATCCCCAGAGTCAGCTGAAAAGGCCTGCAGAATAATGAACGGCATCAAAATCAGTGGCAGGGAAATCGATGTTCGCTTGGATCGTAATGCGTAATTTCAAGCATGGTTGAAACATTCCTTCATCTGTTTATTGAATCTCTTAGTACAAGTCATTTTTTAGTAATGTTGTATGCTTACAAATGCTGTAAAAATGAACTTTTAAAACTCCCACCAGCTTTTAACAGTATAATGTTGAAAAATATACTGTGATTTTCGTTATCTCAAGTTTGTGTTTCTAAAGTCGGCAAGTCTGGTCATTCAGTTTCAATGGATGGACACACTATTTTTAATCAAATAAGCCATTTAACTGTTCCCAGTAGTAGGGTTTTTTTGTCCTAATTTTCCCAATATTATTGTAAGTTATCAGGACCCCCCCCCCCCAGTCTCTGCTCTATATCTAGTTGCTAATGAAAAGAAAGGGCTCAGACAAATTAGGATGTGGTTTTGGTTTGGTGTGAATCACTTTTCTCTGCCTATAAAGAATAGTAGTTAAGGGTTACACTGTAAAGTCAAGGGTGTTTTTTATTTGACATAAATGAAGACATGGGGTTTTTGTTTTTGTTTTTTCTTCTTTTTTGCCCCTCTACCAGTTCCACCTTTCCCACATAACTCTGTTAAAAATATCAGTCTCCACAGCCCCTTATTCTGTTACTTCCAATAATTCCAAGTTCATATAGAACTGATAAAGTAGCAAGTCCTAAGTATAAGATTAGGCAGACCACCCCCAACTTTCGGTCTAGTTTCCAGCCATTAAAATGAACTGCTAAGAACAAAAAAATAATTGAAATGTTGAGAGAGATGGTTACATAAGTGAGTCCCTTACTATTCACTTCTACAGGAGCAGATGCATTCGTAAATGCCGTCTTAATAAACCAGGGAAGACCTAGGCATAACATATCAAACACATTGGATCCCACGATGTTAGATATAGCCATGTCTCCTTTACCTGCAAAAGAACAGCATGTTGTTAAAATGTGCACACCGATACTATATTTTATTAATAATCTTCATAAGACAAACACTGGATACATTTTGTTGGTTAGTTTTAGAAAACTGTTATTGTTAGAGCAAGACTCTTACTGAATTTGTATTTCCTTGAGTTAGTATTTAAAGTCTTAACATTTATTTAATAATTACCTTTATTTATTAAACCATTTTTAATAAGGTCTGCAGCTTATTTGTTGCTTTTCATTCTCATTTTGACAGTGATTTACCATCTAATACACATTTTAGGTAAGCAGTCTTTGGGGGACTGGGTTGGTGGAATTAACCTGCTATTAAAAACTAAATGCTTCCTGTGAGCCACTTCTTTTTTCTTCAAAGTATGCTACTGAGGAAGTGTTATTTATTTTCACGTGTCTTACGGTAATCAAACTTAAAGGTCAGCCAGTGCATCTGGGAGACCACCAGTCTTACCTTTTCTTGCAACTAACACGCTTGCAACTGTGTCTGGTATGCTTGTACCTGCTGCCAATAAAGTAAGGCCCATTACTGTGTCTGGGATTCCTAGTATTTCCCCTGTAATAGGCACAGAGACTACAGGTTACGAATCATAAATCTTATATGAACCAGTTTTTGAAGACAGCTTGAATGCTTCCTGTTCAGGAAAAATATTGAGGTATGTTTAGATTTTTGTCCCAATATATGTTTGTGTGGCTTCTAGATGGCAAAGTATTTGAAACAGGTTGATAGTTTGGGTTGACAGAGCAGCACACATTTTTAATGACAGATATCAGAAGATACCAAACAACCAAAATTCTTCCAATGAGAAATCTTCATGTTTGGCATCAGGGGGAAGCTCTGGGTGTCACTGTTTCTTTCTTTATGGTGAAACTGGTCTTTTACTTATTTTCTCTTTGCTTGAAGTTTCTTAAAGTAGTTGAGAATTAAGTATCTTATCACTATTTTTATCCATTATTATATTGAAGACTTTGAAAGTGCTACTTCGTTTACTGGGTTTTTTTGTTTATTTTGTTTCAGGGATAAACATAGATCTCTGTGGTAGACAGGGACCTCCTTTCCTGCCTGAGTCTTAACATATCCCCAATTTCTTAATACTTGTGTGAAATTGGTAACAGTTCATTCTGAGAAATAAAACCAGAGGGCAATTTTAAAGGGTGAGGGCAGGTAACTTTTCTCTTAATGTTGTAATTGAAAACATGGTTTAGAGTAAGTAGAATGTTGTTTTTCATCTTAGTTACTCATCTGTGATCTTGTATTTGATTCTTCTCTCTTCCTATTGTCACATATTCTTGGATAACAGTGAATATGCAAGTTACCTGGACATTCTTATCATTTCACAAAAGAAAACTGTTCTGTTTTTGTTTGTTAGTATACAGTTATAATAAAGTTAGTTATTTGGGAGAAGTCAGGGTCAGACAGTTTGGAGAAGGGACCAGATAGTAATTATTTCAACTTTGCAGTCTTTGTGGTTTCTGTTGTAATTCTTTAGTCCCACCAGTGTAAAAACAGTTTTATATGTAAAAACTTATACATATAAGTAGGTGACTGGGTTCAACTGTGGTCAGTGAGTTTCACTGCTACAAACAGATTGGGTAACTTAGGCATGGCAGAAGGAGATTGTTCATTTCTAATGTAAATTAGTTCAGGTTAATCTTTTTGAGAGAAAATCCCTCATTTTCTTTTCTATTTATAATTAGTATTTCATTGGGGAGCAGAACATATGGCTAAGCATTAAAACTTTTTTGTGTATTTACTAGAAACCTAAAACAAGACTTTTATACTCACTTAGTCATCTGCATTGTATTTCCATTGCCACATTGTAAAACAAAAGAAAACACCATCTAGTTAAACAGCAAGCACCTACCTCTTACCCCAAACCCAGTCAGTTTCTTTCTGTTTTCCACCGTGAATCAAGAACTCAGTACGAAGAGTTCTTACTAACCCTGTGTAATTATAAAGATAGTCCATGAATTATACTCTAGACTGTGTAATAGTGGGAAATGCCCTTGGTATGTAACTCACAAAACCTGAATGAACTTGTTGGGTTGTGATATTAAACTTTTATCTTTTGTAAAACAACACCAGGTTTTAGTCTTGCTGAAAAGATGTATGCTCCCTAGACTACTTTAAATATTTGCAGTTTCTTCTTACATGAACTAATTTTCTTGTTGTGCTGTTATACTTAATATACATACCTGTTACTGTGACCATCCAAACCAGGATGTATGTGAATGCGGATATCCATAGTGCAGACATGAAAAAGGTTATCACAAAATAATTTTTCCAAAACTTTCTTCTGCAATCTGGTGTTGTCAGAAAAAGTAATGTAATAATAGGAAGAGAGAGTACCCAAAAAATTCTTTTCAAGTCTGCTTCAGGCATGCTGAAAACACTTGGTGGATCTATTGTGGAAAAAAAATTAAACAATTTTGAGTTTTCTCAATGAACGGTTATGTTAGAAATGCCCATTTAGAGGCTATGTTGAAATAATTTCACTGTATACATTTTTGAAAGACTGTCTACAACAGTGGTTCTCAACCTGTGGGTTGTGACCCCTTTGGAGGATGAATGACCTTTCACAGGGTTTGCCTAGGACCATTGGAAAGCACAGTTATTCATGTTATGATTCATAATAGCAAAGTTACTGCTATGAAGTAGCAACAAAATGTTTAGGGGTCACCACAACAGTGAGGAACTGTATTAAGGGGTTGTAACATTAGGAAGGTTAGAACCACCGATCCTAGAATATTTGAATATTTCATTGCTGTTATTGCTGGTCAAAAGAAGCTTAACTGAAACTATGCAGACAACGTAAGCTCAACTTCCTCTTCACCGAGGGCTTGACTCATATGTCTTGAACTGTTTGCTGAATGTTCTGTGACAGTGTTTACAGAGTTAGGTGTTAAGGCGCTTGCTTCATGCTATGTGCATCATTAGGATTAACCTGCCCCTAGCTGTTTCACCCCCTCCCTTTTCCAAAATTGATGGGGCTTATGGTTTGTTATATATTAATACATGCTTAAGGAATGTTCCATCTATTTCTCATTGTATCTCATCATTTGCTAAATTTCTGCTTCACAGTTGCCATAAGGAATCTAGAGAAAGTTGGGCCTAGTAGTCTCCTGGTATAGCTCCAGAGTGTGATCTCAGGGGACAGGATGAAAAGAAAATGGATAAAAGTGGGACCAGGCTGTGGACTAATTAATACAGTACTTATGCAAAAACTTGATCAAATCACATGAACCATGAATTTAGATGTAATTTTATCATGAACAGTTTGACTCATGCTTTTGAGGTTTTGTTGTTGTTATAGATCTCTTCTTCCTTAAAGATTGCAAAGTATATTTTTGTAAGGATGAAAAAAGCCGTGTGTCATTTTTTTTTTAAAGTGATAAACTAGAAGCTTCCTTCCTAATCACTTAACTGAAATTGGAATTGCTTTTATAGTTTTCTGTTCAGGATGTCATTGTCATAGTGAACATACCAAGCTCATGTTTAACTTCTCCGCACGTTTCAGTCTCACCTGCTGTTTTTCTTCCTGTTCATCCCAACCATTCCCTTTTCCTCAACTGCCAGTTGTTACAGAGATGGTCTCATTTCTCCCAGTCAAGATGCACACCCTAGCCTTATGTCTTCTCCTGGTTCTGCCTGGTCCTCTTTCTTGCTGCTGATGTTGGGTAATGCTTCTTTTCCATGGTCTCGCCTGGATTTGCGTTGTCCCCGCTGCCTTCTCTGTGTGGTCCATGTCCTATCATTTCAGTTCAGTCCCCTGTGAACACTGTGCAGCTTTGACTTCCCTCCTCATAACCTGCCGTGCTGTGCTTCCTTCTTCTCAACCCGTTCCTGTGCTTCCTCATTGTGCATGTGTTGCCTTAGCTCTGTCTGTGCTCGTGTGTGAGCAAGTCTTTTGAAGTGTCCACTGGCCTCAGTCCATAGAGTGTGCTCACATTCCTGGATCATCTAGGCAGTAAAGGTGCCAACTGTTGCTTCCTGACTACAGTATCAGATTCTTGAGTTAAAACCTTTTCTATCCCACAAGACCCAGTTCAAATGCTCTTTTCTCCATGTGTTCTCTAAGTTTATTCACTGCCTAATGTATGAACCATAGTCGTTACAGTTTATTTATTTATTTTTATGGTACTTAAACTTTGAAATTTTAGCTGATTTTGGATCTGGGGAGGTGACTCAGTAGGTAAAGTGTTTGGGGCATAGGCATATGGAGTCAGCTTCCCATCACCCATGTAAAAAGCATGGCA